TCCAAAATGTCAGTTATGCATTAGTGTGTGCATTACATTGCTCCATATCCTACAGCGTGTTTTCTCTCGGGTCCAAGAGAAACTCAAACATGGTGATGTTCTGTCGCTATAGAATTGTCAAAATTCTAATTGTCTATATAACTCTAAAAGTCTTGTTTTAGCTCATCCGGCCCAAAGGGCCCGATGAGCTTATGCCATGGCGTGGCGTCCGTCGTCCGTTCGTCCGTCCGTCTACAGTTTTCAAAATGCTTCTTCTTCGTTATTTTTCAACCGATTTTGATTCTGATTGTTTCATATGATAGGGCTAGGACGGGAATTTAAAAATTCGACACAGAATCGTCAAATTCATTATCTATGCTAATTTATGCAAATTGATTCGAAATCACAAAAAATGCTTCTTCTCCTTCATTTCTCGACCGATTTTGATTTGGTTTGCTTTATCTGGTAGAGCTAACTTTGGTACACTAAATTTCTACACAGAATTTTGAAATTGTTCTCCATTAATTAATTATGGTAATTTATGCAAATTTATTCCAAAAATAACAAAAATTGCTTCTCCCTCATTTCTTGACCGATTTTGATTTGGTTTGCCTTATTTGGTAGAGCTAAATTTGGAACACTAAAATTATACACAGAATTTTGAAATTGTTCTCCATTAATTAATTATGGTAATTTATGCAAATTTATTCCAAAAATAACAAAAATTGCTTCTCCTTCATATTTCGACCGATTTTGATTTGGTTTGCTTTATATCGTAGAGCTAACTTTGGTACACTAAACTTCTACACAGAATTTTGAAATTGTTCTCCATTAATATTTATGGTAATTTATGCAAATTTATTCCAAAAATAACAAAAATTGCTTCTTCTCCCTCATTTCTTGACCGATTTTGATTTGGTTTGCCAAATTTATTCCAAAAATAATTTAAAAATCACAAACCCTTCCAGGGCATCAAATTTTTATTTTTTGACCAGTTCAAAAGTGTACCACATAAAATTTATGATATTTGTTGTTGCGAGATGCGGATGAGCGCTACATCATTGACGTTCTGGTTATTGAATTTGCAACGTAATTAGCCAAAAATAATCTATAAACTTTTCACCTGACCCTCCCTGCAAGATATGTGATCAAAGCCCAAATGTCATAAAAAGGGGAAAATGCGATGTACAATGTGAATTGTGAAACCTTTTTATAAAAACAAAATCTGTTGACACAAAAACCCTGATAGCACAAAGTAAATATCTGGCCGAACCATGTATTTTGTATGCAATTTTAAGTGGATAACACAAAATCCTTATAACACAAACAAAATATTGTGGTCCTACTGATTTTGTGTTAAAGAGGTTCCGCTCCGAGGTTCAGCTGTATCATGTTTACATGTCCTACCTTTGTATGATGCTGAATTATATTTCTTGGATTCTTGATATCTTGTAGTAATGCTTTATTATCCCCTCGCCGACAAAGTCGGAGGGGATATAGTAACGCTGCTGTCCGTCCGTCCTTCCTATTAACAATTTTGGTTTCCAATCGATAACTTCAATCCTCTCTCTCTCTCTCACATGGTGCAACCGCAAGCCTACTGTATAACTTCAGTAATGTTTGACAGAATTTAATGAAATTTGATATCAAGGTACATGATATTAAAATACAGGCTAAGTTCGATTTCGGCCAAGCAGATACTTCAAGTGCATTACAGATATCAGAAGTAGGTGCACTTTATAATAGTGGTGGGCTATACAGGGGGTCAAAATCCTTAAGGTTTCTGCTCATTTGGAGGGGCATATCATACCAAGCATTTCGACACCTTTCTTTAAAAAATCGGTTAAAAAATGAGAAGGTGCAAGCCAAAAACGACTTGCGAGGCCAAGGTGGGATAGGAGAGTACGTTAATTGACCCCGGGCTCAAGTAAATTCTATTTCTGCTCATTTTGATAATTTAAAAATCAATTTAAGATCTTTAGATGCCCTGTCTCATAGATTAGTGGTAAATAAAGGTACCTTGACAGTTAAAAATAAATGTCATGTTTTAGCTCGATTTTGTGTAAAAGAGATTCCACTGTACGACAAAAAATCAGTTTAAATATGTTAAAGGGGGGTGCCAACGTTCAAAGTGTGCAAAACATTATGCAAAGATCATGAAAGTACAATTTTTGGGGAAAGGAAAGAAGTCATAAGTTCCATATCTGACCTCAAATTTGACCAAAAGTGCTGCTCAATAGTTAACAGGAAAGCTACGCAATTTATTGGTCAGAATTACCACAACTTGGTCAAAATTGTGGTCATTCTTACCTACCGTTAGTTTGTAGATTCTTCATCTTGATATTTTTATGTAAGTTTTTTTTTTTTTATTGTGACCAAAAGTGCCAAAATCTGCCTTTTGTCGCACTTTTTGGTTTAAAAAAAAATAAAACTTTTATTATCCCCTCGCCGACGAAGTCGGAGGGGATATAGTAACGCTGCCGTCCGTCCTTCCTTCCATGCGTGCGTCCGTCCGTGCGTGCGTCCGTTCGTAACAAATTTGGTTTCCGATCGATAACTTCAGTAATGTTTGACAAATTTTAATGGAATTTGATATGAAGGTACATGATATCAAAATACAGGCTAAGTTCGATTTCGGAGTATGTACCTAGGTCAAAGGTCATAGCTCATTAAATATGCAAATCTGGTTTCCATTCGATAACTTGAGTAATGTTTGACGAATTTTAATGAAATTTGATATGAAGGTTCATGGTATTAAAACAAAGTCTAAGTTCGATTTCGGAGTATGTAGGTCAAAGGTCATAGCTCATTAAATATGCAAATCTGGTTTCCATTCGATAACTTGAGTAATGTTTGACGGATTTTAATGAAATTTGATATGAAGGTACATGGTATCAAAATACATGTACAGCCTAATTTCGATTTCTGAGTATGTAGGTCAAAGGTGAAAGGTCATAGCTCATTAAATATGCAAAAACACCTACCGATAATTATATATGTGAAAATCCTTGCCTAGAAATATAATAATATAGTCCAATGGAGGTAACTTGTTCTGACGTATATAGGCCATTTGTACCCTGCGAGGGATGCTACGCTTTGCGTTGACTTGTTTAAAAATGAATCTCATCTTACTACAGAATCAAAGTTTTATGTCTTTGATTGAGTTTGGAATTACACACCATGGATAGTGGCAATTGGCCATTGTAGTGGCATTCAAATTTAGCGATTTGTTAATATTACCAATTGATGTTCGAAAATGCATTTAAAAAAAAATTGTGAATTGTCTTGCTCGCGAAATTGAAATGCATGCAAAACTTTTGCATATTATGGCTAATTCTTAATTTCTAAACTCATGAATTGTTTCCGTTTCCGATAATTTCAGGTGGGAGTTCTGGATGCTGCACCATCTGGCTCAAATGTTCACTGGACCGGTGATGACGACACTCCTGTCGCATCTGAACCATCTGGAGATGACAACACTCCTGTCGCATCTGAACCATCTGGAGATGACGACACTCCTGTCGCATCTGAACCATCTGGAGATGACGACACTCCTGTCGCATCTGAACCATCTGGAGATGACGACACTCCTGTCGCATCTGAACCATCTGGAGATGACGACACTCCTGTCGCATCTGAACCATCTGGAGATGACGACACTCCTGTCGCATCTGAACCATCTGGAGATGACGACACTCCTATCGCATCTGAACCATCTGGAGATGGCGACACTCCTGTCGCATCTGAACCATCTGGAGATGACGTCACTCCTGTCGCATCTGAACCATCTGGAGATGACAACACTCCTGTCGCATCTGAACCATCTGGAGATGACGACACTCCTGTCGCATCTGAACCATCTGGAGATGACGACACTCCTGTCGCATCTGAACCATCTGGAGATGACGACACTCCTGTCGCATCTGAACCATCTGGAGATGATTCCGATAGTGATTATGAAGCCGAATCTGATCCAGAAGGTAATAGCAGTGATGAGGCTGATTTCATTCCATTTCGGTTTGTACGTGGACGTCAAAGTAACTCTGTGGCAGTTTCTGTCAGTGATAATAAGGAGAGTGAAGCCATGCCTGTTGACCATTCAGTACCTAATACCTCACCTGCCCATGCCTCTGCAAGTGTTCAAAGTGCAAAAGTCTCAAGCTCCAGTTGCAGTATTAATGTGATGACCACTTCAAACAACAACTGTAGAAAGTGGGACAAACCTCAGTACTGTAAATTTTGTAGTCAACCACAAAAGAAACTGCCGAGGCATCTGCTTACACCACAACATGTCAACGAGACTGAGGTTCAGCAATGGATTACAACTAAAGACATGAAAGAAAAGGCAAACTTGCTAGCTAAAATGAGAAATTACGGAAACTATCGTCACAATGTCAAAGTCCTTCAAGAAAATAAAGGTACCTTGATTGTTGCATACAGACCGAAATATGATGTGGATCCAGAAGAATATTTGCCATGTAGTCATTGTTATGCTTTCTATTCCAAGGATGATTTGTACAGGCATGTTCATAGATGTAAATTGCGACCAGATGTTGAGGATGAGGATGAGACCTGTGAACCACCCAAGAAGAAAAAAAGAACCTTACATGTTCAAACTGGTAGAATGATGCTTCCAGGCCCATCAGGAGTAAGCCCAAAGGTGCACATGATATTATCAATGGGAGTCGATGATGATATATTGAGAGTTGTGAAATCAGATAGATTAATGCAGCAAGTAGCAGAGAGGCTGACATTGAAGCATGGGCATGACAAAGACCAGTATTCATATATACGGCAAAAATTGCGTGAACTTGCACGACTGGTTCGTGAGTACAGAAAATTGAATGATCACCCATCGGCTTCATTGGTAGATTTGATTTGTCCTACCAAATTTAATGAGGTCATAGCTGCAACTAGGAAGGCTGCAGGATTTAATGAGGATACACATTTGTACACAACACCTAGCCTGGCACTGAAAGTCGGATATACACTGGTGACGGCTGCCAAAGTCCTTATGGGAAATGCTCTGTTGCAAGCAGATGCTGGTTTGGAAAAGAAATGCAAACAGTTCATCAAGTACATCAAGGCTGCTTCCTTTGACAACAGATGTTGTTGCACTGTCCAATTATGTGAGAAAAGAAACAAAAGAGGGAAAACAGAAGCTGAACAGCTGCAGTAGTGATGAGACCCTTGACAGATGGAAACAGTTGGCTGAGGTTACCCTGACCCAGGTGTGTGTTTTCAACAGGAAGCGTCCGGGAGAAGTTTCAAAGATGCCCCTCAGTGATTACAAGTGTATCACAAAAGGAGAAGGTGGAATATTTGGTGAAGGCCTAACCAAATGGGAAAAGGCGTTGTGCAATGTGGTATGGAGGGTGGAGATTAATGGGAAATGCAATAACACTGTACCCGTTTTGCTAACAGATGACATGAAAGGCAGCATTGACTTGTTGATGGAGAAAAGGTCACAAGTAGTCAATGATGGAAATCCCTACTTGTTTGCAAACCCCGATGGAAGAGGCCACTTGAGAGCAACTGATACAGTGCGAAATCATGCCCAAAAGTGTGGAGCAAAGTATCCAGATCAGCTTAGATTGACAAAACTCAGGAAGCACATTGCTATCAGCTCTCAGATCATGAATTTGAAGGATAATGAAGTGGACATTTTAGCCACCTTCATGGGCCATGACATAAGAACCCACAGAGCCTACTACCGCCTGCCAGATGCGTCACTGCAAGTAGCAAAGATTTCTAAAGTACTCTTCAGCATGGAGAAGGGAGACCTAAAGGCAATGGCAGGAAAGACGTTGGATGATGTTCGTGTAGATGCAGATGAAGGTATGACTATTTTTTATGTTTTGTGCTAGATAGAATGGCTGAGAATATGCCATACCATTTTCATTTCCTTCTACTTTTATCTGAAGTGATATCTGATTGGTTAGTGAGATCATAACGGTTTCTAGTTTGAGATTACATTAGGCCAGAAAACTTTTATGTTACATCTCAATCATTCATTTCACTCTCATACAACACAGTTTTTATATTGTATAATTTCCTTAGTTTTGTATGCTTGCTATATCCTTCAGTTTGTGAAGTTCCATGCTTTTGGTAAGCAAACTGGGATGTCTTCATTAGTACCTCCAGTTTTAATAAGAATTGATCCGAGATACAATATATGGGAAGCTGCCAACATTTCAAATACTTGAATATGTGATTTGATTTTTGTGTCGCCTTACTGAACGTTCATGGTGGCACATACTAATCCAAATTATCTATGTCCGTCTTTCCATTAACCGATTCGGTTAACGTTTTCGGTTAACCCTTCTAAAAATGCTCCGCAGGCTAAACGCTATGCTTGATTTACTCCAAAACTTGGTAGGATGATCCGCAGGTTAAACGCTATGCCCGATTTACTTCTAACTTGGTAGGGTGATAGAGTGAGGTGCCACAATATCATGTGTTGCTTTGAGCTGTATTATTTGCATATTCATGAATTTCAATTAGCTTATTTGCAATGCAATTTAGGTTAACCTTAAAAAAAATGCTCTGCAGGCTAAACGCTATACCTGATTCATTTGAAACCTGGTAGGGTGACAGACTGAGGTGCCAAGATGTTGTGTGATGCTTTTCATTGCATTATTTGCATAATCATGACATTTAATGAGCTAATTTGCATATTTTGATATATTTTGGATACTCATGTGTTTTAAAAAAATGATGACACTTGCAGAATTGTCTCTCTAAATACACTTTGTATTGAAGAGTAGTTGTGGTACCAGCTGTGCTGTTTACATGAAAAGCAAAACAGGGATGACTATCCACAGCTGTCTGCTATGAACTTACCCTTGCAAAGATTATAATGTACATGTATGTTATTTTTCACCTGCTCTTGTTAAATCTGTGTTTGTTTTTTGTTTTTCAGAATGCAACATAGATCCAGATGTTGATGATGATCCTGACAACGAAGTGAACAGGCCCGATGATGCTGTTTTGATGGATGAGATGTCAGACAAAGAAAATGAAGGTGTGAATGAATTACTTTGTTATATCCTTTGTTAGGCCTCCGTTACGAAGTAGCCGGAGGCATTATGTTTTCGGGTTGTCCGTCCGTCCGTCCGTCCGTCCCGTTCTCGTGATCGCGTTATCTGAAGAACCGATTGATGGATTCCTGCCAAACTTTGGTCATGTATGTATCTTGCAGAGCCGATGGACTGATAAGATTTTGGGGTCACAAGGTCAAAGGTCAAAGGTCACAGGGCTCATTATGTATGAAAAACAGCTCGTGATCGCGTTATCTCAAGAACCGATTGATGGATTCCTGCCAAACTTAGGTCATGTATGTATCTTGCAGAGCCAATGAACTGAGTAGATTTATGGGTCATGAGGTCAAAGGTCAAATGTCATGGGCTCATTATGTATGCAAAAACAGCTTTATCATTAGAACTGACAGATGGATTACTATTTAATTCAGGACATCTTGCAGAGCCAATGAACTGAGTAGATTTTAGGGTCATGAGGTCAAAGATCAAAGGGTCATATATGTATATGAGAAATTGCTTGTAATCACGATATTCTGAGAACCTGTTAATGGATTACAATGAAATTCGAATTTGAAAAATTTCTTCTGTTTTGGTTTGTAAACTTGCTCTATGACGGAGGCATCATTTTCGAATGCGCGCAGTCGAAGTTCCATCTAGTTTATCCTTACTTTGATTATTCCAGATGCCCTCAACAGGTGATTATCCTTGTGTCACTATTTGAATTTTAGCATTCGCTTAGTTTGAATTCTGGCTAAATGGCACTCCTAATGCAGACAGCTTTAAATGAAGAACTAGCTAAAAGTAATGTAAATTGTAACTTTAAAAAAAAAATCAAAATATAACCATTCCACTCTTCTCTCAGCTACCATCTTCTGCATTTGGTTAAGTTTTTTAAAATCTGTCATTGAACCTGAAACATTAATTGTGTTTCCCTACTTATTTGTCTAATTCACTATTAAAGGTATGAGCATGCCGCAGCAAAGCAGAAAGAAGAGTGACCAAGTTGCAAACAAGGAAAGTGACCGTGGTGCCAGCAGAAAGAAAAGGAGTATCAGACAATCTTGGACAGCTGAAGAAAAACAAGCAATACACAGACACTTTAAAGAAGAACTACGCTCACGCCAACTGCCCGGTAAAGAAAAAATAATGAAGTACTGCAAGATGGATGCAGACCTGAAGGGTCGTACTAAAAGGTGGACAACAGTCAAAGATTTCATTAGAAACCAAATTAGAAAGACAAATCCACTGGATTTTTAGTGAATTTTCAACCTGTTATGAGTGAAATTAATCATGTTCATCACACTCCGCAATTTTGGATGAAATCTTTTCAGGTACTGACATGCGTAAAATGTGGTTGCTTCTTATTCATATAACCCACTTACTGGTTTCCTTGATGAAGGGCTGTGCTTTGGAAGAGGTGCACCTTTATATAGGTTAACAGTTAACTCCATGGCCAGGAAGCATACTGTGTGTAAAGCAGTGTATGGTTCTGCAAGTCAAATGGGAACTTAATAGGAAAAACTTAATTACCTGCCCAGTTGGTCAGGGCCAGGGAGTAGACTTGTGTCTAACAGTATGTATACTGTATAGAAGATTGTAAGGCAAATGGGAACTTTTGTGCTAAAGTTGTTTGATAAGCCCCAGTTTGCCAGGTTAACGTTTTGCAGTTTAAATGATGACTTACAGGTCAATTTTATCAGCTCCCATATCACCAGATGGTCAACGTCAGTGAGCATCACATGTGTAACAATGTGCATAAAGGTTTACAGGTCAAACTCCAACTTTGCTCACTTCCCCTAGATTAGGTTCATGGTTGATAGGACTCGTGATAGGACTAGATGCATAATGTTTTCCATATCAACTGGGAATTAAGAGCCAACTGTGATTCAGGTCCTCAGTTGGCTTAGACCATGACAAGGAAGCATCCACATGTGTCATGACGAAAACAGTCCATTTAAACTTCACCCCACTTTGGACCCGAAAGTGGGGTGCATTTTGATGGTAAGCTCACCACAGAGCAAGAGAGAGTTAGAGTCCCTAATCTGCAGTGTAAACAAACTTTGCCAGGACATTGCCAGCCCAACCTTGATAAGTACTGCTTGGAACTCCTCCATGATGTTCTAGTCTTATTCGCAGTCTCATATAGGTTCGGATTATGTCCATTCTCATAGCTACCGGTAGATGCCAGTTTCATCTTCCTTGCTTCACTTTATAAGCATAGTTATATCAGGAACTTCCTGGTTATAATTATGTTCCTTTCAAGTTTCATCATAATTGTCTAGTTCGATATAGTACATGGACACAATTAAATATGATATTGTCTAAAATTGTCAAAAATATCTTAACATCAAAATGATTTCTGGTCATGTTTAACTATTTTAATTGAAGCCTTTTTACTTGATCTAATACTTTTATGAGGATGACATAGTCCGCAATAAACTTGACAAACATTATCATCCATACTATATGTCGTAGTTTATAACAATAATTACTCATGAACCTCACACTACAAGGACAACATTCATCCAGATTCTGAGATTGCTCATTCTCACGAAGCTTGGTGTACGCGAAGATATCGGGAAAGAAAGCGTCTGTAATACCAGACACGCAAGTGGGGTATTTCGGTCCCCGTTCACCGAAAAGTGAGATTCTCCATTTGAAATTCGGGTAAGGTTGACAAATATAGCCTCTGTTAAAGGCGTTACTCCGCCACCAAATCTATTCGCATAGACGAAATAAACTCGAACGCGTTTAGAAAAATGGTGTAGGCCTAGGCCTATAAGAAAAGGCCGGGAAAACATACATTTTGTTGGTTTGACCGTTAAATATTTTTGAGGTATTAAAGCAAGAATAGAATGTTGTAAATATTGTTTTTGTTACATTTATTCCGTGCGTAATCTGAAGGTCTACTCAACTTTCTTTGCCTATTTCTTGCCCCCCCCCAAACGGCAGATCAAGGATTTGAAAATAGGGAGGGGCCGGGGCTCAGACGTCAAATTTGAAATAGGGGGGGGGGGGTGGTTGTTTAGGCAGACGGCATATTTCTTGGAATTCGTTATAAAGACGGTATTTAAAAAAAAATGATGATTCTGGCAAGATAAGAATTGAATTTCATAAAACTTTTATTCGATTTAATATGATCTGTATCCGTATAGGATACAATATTTATTTCCCCACAACACATCAAGCCGTGATGATTGAATGTCCATTGCATGTAACACGAAAGAAACAGAAACTCTCAAATCTACAATCCTTTAGAAAGATAATAATTAGCTGAGTAATCATTTAGGGCATTACAAGACATCGAAGGACTTAATCTATTTTACAATAGTTGATGCAACCATAATGGAACATTATGCTTCTCGATACTGAGGATATGAAATTTCAGCACAAGAGTATTTGGTTTCAAAATTTTATAGCAGTTCTTTAAAGAAACATTTCGATGCTCACTTGTATAATAAATCTCTATGACAAGCTCATTTTTATCACGACAGTTAAACCTTTTCACTTTTTGATACTAAAGATTGTTGAAGAATTGCCTAATTGACTGCTCGGATGATTTTTTACCTTTCTCCGAAACCTCTTGGTTTTTTACTCATGATTATTATACAAATAATGAATGGTTATGAGTTCAATAGTGCGAATATGTTCATGAGTTGAAAGATTAACATTCTATTCAACGAGGCGTCAGCCGAGTTGAATAGAATTAACGTTAATCTTTCAACGAATGAAAATATTTGCACTATTAAACGAATGAAAAACATTCATTATTTGTTTTATACAACATCGAAGAAGACCTAATAGAACGTTAATCAACAAATTATGCTTGAATCCTTATAAAGATAAATTAAAGTTCGAGTCAAGCCTTCTCGATTACATGCAGATTGCCTTCGCGTCAGATACACGCAGGGATACGCGCACATGCAGCAGAGAGGTACGCAGTCTGCATATAACCAAAAATGCACGGCGCATATAACCAAAAATGCACGACCGTGCAATATACCATCTATTGAATATCATGTGACCAACAATCGTCCAATCAAATGACAAGGATCCACGTATGTGTTGTATAAAGCGCATTATTCTTTTTGTCACTGTATGTATTAATAAGCAAATACATATCTGCACAACGAACGTCTTTATGATTATGATGTCCTCGTTTCGTTGTATGTTATAAATTCAATATCATGATGAGAAGTGCGTCAAAAATATCTTAACATCAAAATGATTTCTGGTCATGTTTAACTATTTTAATTGAAGCCTTTATACTTGATCTAATACTTTTATGAGGATGACATAGTCCGCAATAAACTTGACAAACATTATCATCCATACTATATGTCGTAGTTTATAACAATAATTACTCATGAACCTCACACTACAAGGACAACATTCATCCAGATTCTGAGATTGCTCATTCTCACGAAGCTTGGTGTACGCGAAGATATCGGGAAAGAAAGCGGTCTGTAATACCAGACACGCAAGTGGGGTATTTCGGTCCCCGTTCACCGAAAAGTGAGATTCTCCATTTGAAAGTCGGGTAAGGTTGACAAATATAGCCTCTGTTAAAGGCGTTACTCCGCCACCAAATCTATTCGCATAGACGAAATAAACTCGAACGCGTTTAGAAAAATGGTGTAGGCCTAGGCCTATAAGAAAAGGCCGGGAAAACATACATTTTGTTGGTTTGACCGTTAAATATTTTTGAGGTATTAAAGCAAGAATAGAATGTTGTAAATATTGTTTTTGTTACATTTATTCCGTGCGTAATCTGAAGGTCTACTCAACTTTCTTTGCCTATTTCTTGCCCCCCCCCCAAACGGCAGATCAAGGATTTGAAAATAGGGAGGGGCCGGGGCTCAGACGTCAAATTTGAAATAGGGGGGGGGGGGGGGTGGTTGTTTAGGTAGACGGCATATTTCTTGGAATTCGTTATAAAGACGGTATTTAAAAAAAATGATGATTCTGGCAAGATAAGAATTGAATTTCATAAAACTTTTATTCGATTTAATATGATCTGTATCCGTATAGGAAACAATATTTATTTCCCCACAACACATCAAGCCGTGATGATTGAATGTCCATTGCATGTAACACGAAAGAAACAGAAACTCTCAAATCTACAATCCTTTAGAAAGATAATAATTAGCTGAGTAATCATTTAGGGTATTACAAGACATCGAAGGACTTAATCTATTTTACAATAGTTGATGCAACCATAATGGAACATTATGCTTCTCGATACTGAGGATATGAAATTTCAGCACAAGAGTATTTGGTTTCAAAATTTTATAGCAGTTCGTTAAAGAAACATTTCGATGCTCACTTGTATAATAAATCTCTATGACAAGCTCATTTTTATCACGACAGTTAAACCTTTCACTTTTTGATACTAAAGATTGTTGAAGAATTGCCTAATTGACTGCTCGGATGATTTTTTACCTTTCTCCGAAACCTTTTGGTTTTTTACTCATGATTATAGCGCATTATTCTTTTTGTCACTGTATGTATTAATAAGCAAATACATATCTGCACAACGAACGTCTTTATGATTATGATGTCCTCGTTTCGTTGTATGTTATAAATTCAATATCATGACGAGAAGTGCGTCAAAAATATCTTAACATCAAAATGATTTCTGGTCATGTTTAACTATTTTAATTGAAGCCTTTTTACTTGAGCTAATACTTTTATGAGGATGACATAGTCCGCAATAAACTTGACAAACATTATCATCCATACTATATGTCGTAGTTTATAACAATAATTACTCATGAACCTCACACTACAAGGACAACATTCATCCAGATTCTGAGATTGCTCATTCTCACGAAGCTTGGTGTACGCAAAGATATCGGGAAAGAAAGCGGTCTGTAATACCAGACACGCAAGTGGGGTATTTCGGTCCCCGTTCACCGAAAAGTGAGATTCTCCATTTGAAAGTCGGGTAAGGTCGACAAATATAGCCTCTGTTAAAGGCGTTACTCCGCCACCCAATTCGGAACAGCTTGCCACATGCAGTATCGTGAATGCGCCCGGCACTCTGAGTGGCCGTTTTTCAGTGTATTTTCTTTTAGTGTTCTTAAAAATTCGCCGTGTCGTTTGATCAAAGAGGTACTGGGCAAGCTTGCCTATTAATGATTTGGTCCAATACATAAGCCATCTAACCTTTATGTTTTAAGGTAATGATTATATTTATGCAGAAAACTAAAATACTTGTGACAGTGCGATTATTTCAAGTCGCCCTATTTAGGTTATCATGCAGCAACATGACCAATCAAAGTTTGGTCCAGTTAACGCTTGTTGGTTGGTAGTTTTTTTAAACTTTATTTGTCCAATTAACTTCTTTATCTTCTCAATGTTTCCTTTCCATCTTTCCTTTCCATCTTTCCTCATGTTTTTCACTATTATCACCTTTGTTCTATATACCTTTCGGCTGATATTATTCTTTATTTTTCTCCTTCTTTCAACATCTCTTTTCCAATTTTCATTATATATTTCTTTATTTTCTCCTAATTTTATCTTCTTTAGCCATCTTTCCTTATGCCCTTCTTTATTTTCTCCGTCTTTCTAATTTTCATCTTTCCTTATGTATTCCTCTCTTTTCACCTTGTTTTATTCTCTCTATCTTCTCTCATGTATTTCTTTATTTCTAACCTTCATTATCTTCTGTTTCCATCTTTCCCTGTGTATTTCTTTTTAAACCTTCTTTTATCTTCCTTTTCCATCTTTCCTTATGTTATTCTTTATTTTCTCCTAATTTTATCTTTTTCATCTTTCCTTATGTATTCCTCTATTTTCACCTTGTTTTATTCTCTCTATCTTTTCTCATTTATTTCTTTTTTTTCTAACCTTCTTTATCTTCTGTTTCCA